GAGAGGTGAATAATATGTATTTTTGTATATAAAGTTCTAGTTGGCATGTAATCAAAATAATATATTGTATAAGCTCTGAATAATTTTGTAAATGTTTTGAATAATTTAAATGTTATAAAAGTTTTTAAATTACTCACTATTTTATACGAATAAATTTTCGAAAAGTCAATGTGACACTTCAGACTCGTATCCTGGTCGGATACGGGTTGGGGGTGTTACATTTACCTCCAACAATACTGTTAAACTCTTCTTTACTTAACCCAACTAACTTTCCTTTATTTAGCCTCTTCTAACATCTAAAATATCTAAAGAACATCTCAACCCAAGAATCATACCACTTTTTCTAACATGTTTTTAATCACATCACGGGCTTTTAATCTATTATTTACTTCTTTGACAAGTCAAATATACTAATAAACCTCAATAAAAACTCATATATCAACATTTCATTCAAAAACCTATTTCATTTAATCTCAAATAAAAAATTCATCTCTTAGTTTTAATCTTCGTTAACCCTTCCTTAAGCTTACACATCACTTAAGGTTGCAAGAACACACCATAATCGAAAGGAAAAAACTAGTTATATGATGTTTACCTTTGGCTATGGATGAGAGCACAAAACCAAAGGAGGAAGAAGAGGAAGAGTAAAATAACTTAGTTTTTAACTTTCCCCTTTTCTTAAATCCCTAATAAAAAATGAGTTTTAAATTCATTTCAGTCCAAAGGACCAATATTCCCTTTCAATTATCCATTTTTTACTAATTGGTCTTTCTCAAATCATTCCTTATACTTGAACATTTATTAAATTAAATTCTTAAATTTTTAAATTCTTGCAAAATAGTCACTTAACCTATCATTTGGGGTATTACAGGTAAGCTATATATTAGAATGACATTTAGAACAAAGAACTCATTGTGGTCGCCATTAAGAACTACAATATACGCTGCTCAGTTACATCAACTATGAAGAAACAAACGCGGATAAGTACATGGTTGAATATGTCCGCTAGTCCGAGGGATATAATTGGAGGGTTCGTGTATCACGCTTGAAGAGGATAAACAACCTATGAAAGCTAAAAAAAGGGTCAACCTCATACATACACCACCAACAACCTCACTCAAGATCATCCAAGCTTAGATGTTCACATGCTTTGTGATACCTTCATACCACTGGTCAAAAACAAATCCACGTATAACAGTTTTCAGTTGCATTGCTACAATCACATCTCCATACGACTACATAGTTAACTACCATAAAAGCATGGTATGCTAGGCATCATGCTCAACAAAAAGTGTATGGCCAATAGTAAGAATCATACAAAGATTTACGGCCATGGCTGAAATTGATGAAGAAACACATACGGAGCATAGTTGTCAAACTGGAAAATGTGTTTGCATATTAAAACGATCATTTTATACAAGGTACGTGCCAATTTCACATGCTATTTTGGACATTTTTGTGGTGTGTTAATGCCTTTCGACACTACAAGTCGATGGTTCAAATAGACAAAACTTGGTTATACGGAAGATACACACAAATGATGTTGTTGGCAGTGGCACAAGATGGCAATAGGAAAACAATTCCCATCACATTCGCAATAGTCGGAAAAAAATATAGACTCTTGGGAATTCTTCTTTAAGTATTTGCAAAGATATGTTCTATCATATGTTTTACTTGAGTGTTCTAGTGGGATATGTTTTTTTCTGACAAAAGCGCATGGATCATATACACAATCAAGTGTATGGGACCGTCTTGAAAGCCTCCACATATTTATCACCGATTTGTTTACACCATATTACTGCAAATTATTTGTAAAAGTTTAGGAACGAAGATGAACGCATGATGTGCTTCGAATGGGTACATCTTTCATTTTTTTGGATTCATATATCTTCATATTTATTATTTATAATTAATTGTTGCATTTTTAATGGGTAGGCTAATCGTATTTTTACGCGAGGTTGAGGAGTTGTTTAAAGAATTGAGACACATGAATCAAGAAGGCTACAACTACCTTGCTGAAGGATAAATGGCTTTGGTCATTTGATGGGGACAAATGATATAGTCATATGACAACAAACTTGGTTGAGGCAATCAATTCTTCACTAAAAGGAGTGTGACATTTGCCTATCACTTCCGTTGTCAAAGCGACATATCATCAGTTGGTAACTATGTTTGCAACCTTGGGAAGGCAAACAGTTGACTGGATTACAGGTGCTCAGAGAATCCACCCAAACCTCCATAGAAATTGTAAACCTTTATTGCAGCACTCAAACGCGACGAGCGTGACATGTGTCTCTCGCGAACAAAATAAATTTTGTGTTTTAAAATATTCAAGGCCATTCGAAGACATACAACACAATGTATATGTATTTAATCTACGTGACAAAATATGTGAATGCAGAGTACTTCAAACATTCAAATATATGTGACCACACGTCATTGCTACTTGTTCTTTTGTACATATTGACTACATACAATTCATTGATCCTGTGTACTTACTAGAAATTGTATTCAATGTGTATTAGTATGAGTTTCCTCCGATTGGAAACGAAAGAGATACAGATGTAGTTGATGATGAACCTACAATACTGTCATATTTTGCACTACGAGGATTTTATATGATGAGGATTTAGTCGAACATCAAGAAAGAACCGGACAACCGAAGCTATGTAGTATTTTTAGGAATCCTGGACACTCGAAGAACAAATGTCCTAATCGATCATGCCCTCCTATCGATTAGTTTGTTTTAAACGAACATATTTTTATGTTTTCTAATTTGTTTAAGTTATTAATTATTCATTTGTTTAAGTTGTCCTTCAACAATATGATTTTCTCCTGCCCCAAACATGCCTATCAAGCCATGTTAGCATCTTTTTTTATGTAAAAATGCAAGCTTTAGAACCATTTTGAACGCGATTTTTTACCCTGATTACAATATCTTGTATGTGACGATATTACTCTCAGTTGAAAGATAAGTTACAATACTACGCCTCTACTCTTATAAATTATGCAATTTTTCAGATTAACTACCCAAAAACCCCCTCGAATATGCCTACCAAACCATTTTAGCATTTTCTTCTTCCACAAAACAAGCTTTGAAACCATTTCCAACGAGATTTTTAACATGATTATAATATCTCGTATGTCTCGATATTGACCTCAAGTGAAAGATAAATTCAAATACTACGCCTCTAATCTTATAAATTACGAAAATTTTGAGATTAAATACCTGAACATACCTATAAGCACTTGTGATTTGGGCCGGAAAACTACATACCTCACTCTTTGAAAAATGTGAGGTATGTTAATTACCACTCACGATAAATTTCTGGGGACAGTTTAATATATCGGGAACCTTGCGTTCTACGTAACGAGAGGTATTAAGTATCAACATTAAATTGCGTCCTCCGAAAAGTGTGTTCACGTAGGGCGCACCTCGTGCCTTGTACAATGCAAGGCCATTGTGTATTTTGTAGGACGCAAGTTAGTCCTACGCGTGCACTTTAAGAGAAATTTTTTAACAAATCTGGTTTGGGGTATTTTCAAAAATAAATTGGGGGTTATATAATAACGCCTTGAGGAACAAAATCATCGAAGAATTTCTTGTATCTCTTATTAAAGTGTAATATATTAAATTATTTTAATATGTATATATTTAAAAAGGAAAAAACTATTCAATATATATATATATATAAGATTTTATTTTACATATTTTGGTCTATAAATTATATTATTATTTTGATATTTTACTCTTGGATTCATTATGAAGTTCCCATTTTACATATCATTTTAAACTCGTATGTTTTGATTCATCTATTTTTGTTCTTTTAAAACTAAATTTAATGTTTATAATCGGTTGTAAATAAAACTTTAATAAGATGGCTGTGATTCGACATGGCATTCTAGATACTCTAGAATACTCTAAATACTTTAGGTTGAGATTAGGGTGTTATAATTTACATATATTTTTTGAGAAAATATTTTATTCGACATGGCAGTTTGATATTGTTTAATTAACGTCTCAAATTTGATGGCATCAAAATGGAAGTACACAACGATCATGTGAGGCGATGTAAAGGGATCATGCCAATAGTCCCCACATATTCCCTTGGGAGTAAACAAATCACATGGTAGGGGCAACAGTCTTACAAATAAAATAAAATAAAAAAGTAAACTATAGCTATTCTTTATACTATTAGACTTTTAATTTTTTTAATTATAATATTAAATTTTAATTTTTATTTCAATTATATCCTTGAACCGTTAAATCATTAATAAAATGATGATGTAGTTGATGGCTGCCAACGTAATTGATGGTTGTCCGACGTAGACACCTTACTAAAATAACATCGTTTTGATTTGGTTATTAATGAATTATCGACTTAATAATATAATTGAAACGAAAATCAAAATTTAATACTATAATTAATAAAATTAAAAATTTAATGGTATAAATGATACAACAACTAAAATTCAATAGTATCTTATTTAATTTACCCTGAAAACAAACCCACCACTTTTCATTCCCTCGTCTATTGTTAAGCCCATTCTCTGACTCTTCAACTCAATATCCATCCTTGCATCCAAATATCGACCGGACAATCGAAAATTTCTAATATTTATATATTTTTAATAGTTTTATATTCTTTTATTGATAATATATTTTTATATATAAAATTTTATAAATTTATTTTTATAATTTCATAAATTTGTTCTTAATATAAAATAAGGACGAAATTTTATGTATGTTCTTAACATAAATAAGGACGAAATTGTCTGTTTGCCCCCATCCCTGAATGCATAATACGTCAATATATACCGATATCTCCAAGTCAATATCCATCCTTCATTTTTCAAATATTTATATTCGTATTTAAATATAAGTTGAATGAATGTAAATATTAATAGCTAAAGGAAAATGAATAGTTATTCGAATATAGATTTTAAAAATATAAACACAAGTTACATGACTGCTATAGTGATTCTCACCCCCCCCCCCCTCTTATTTACTGATCTGTTCTTTACTTCATCTAGTAATACTCTACTAGGGTCTCTGGACAGCTTTCATCTGATTCATCTTCTTTACTAAATGGCGGAGGTACATATGTTGGGGATGTGCATCTTAGCAACGCCCAGTTGACCCCTTGGAAGAATGGGTGATGCTTGATGGCCGATGCACCCATGGTGGACCCTAACCGTCTCGTTGGATCCTTCACCAACAGCTGGGATATTAGATCCTTAGCCGCCGCAGGCACCGCCGGTTCTTTCGGGAACTCAAGGGCTCGAGCCACGATGTTGGCTAACGTTAGCTCATGGTCCACGCCCTTGAATGGTGTTACCCCATAGAACAGTTCATACATAAAGATCCCCAATGTCCACCAATCCACAGGGCTACCATGGCCTTCACCGGACACGATTTCCGGTGCCAAATATTCGTGTGTCCCTACAAAAGACATTGACCGGACATCGATAGGCTCGGCCACAAACTCAGGCCCACCACGATGGACATCCTTCTTTTTCCGTTTGCGCTTCGGGTGGAAACACGACACCGCGGGTACTATACAGTTTGGGATGATGCATGAAGAGGATGTGAAAGGAGGATCAACAGGATGGTAGTTTTGCAGACCAGGGACGGGCAGTCTTTGGTCGGAAATAATCTGGGGTGTCGATGTAGAATCATCACATTTCAACGAGAGGTCAAAATCCGTTAGCATAATGTGACCATCCGATCGAACCAACACGTTTTCGGGCTTTAAATCACGGTAAACAATCCCCAACATGTGAAGGTACTCTAGAGCCACCACCACCTCTGATGCATAAAACCTACAGACACCAAGAATAAAGAAAGCAATCAAGTAGCTAAAATATTAATCAGTTACATCATTAAGATCAACAACTTCATAATACACAATGTCCATGAATGGCTAAAATAATTGAGATGCTCTTAGCGTCACGAATTGTTTTGATCACATTAGCCAAGGGACATAGGGACCTACTCCCATTATCATTCTCATCCGCTGCCATTTTCTGCTTGATTTACACACCAAATTAAGACAATAAATTATTTTGCTTCAACCTCTACTACATTATGCATGCTAATAGGGACCTACTTGTCTCTTTTTCTAGATGCCTCAAGAGGCAAAAATCTTCAACAGGGAGAAGTAAAGCAATCAAAAGTTTCTCAAACTTGTGTCCTTATATTGTAGCATGTTCTCTTCCTGGATGCTCCCTAGCGTTTTGGGTGGCATATTGTTGAAAATAAAATTTATCCAAAAAAAAAAATTGTTGAAAACAAAGAGCATAGAACATGTTCGAGCCTGATTTATTTATAGTGGAAATACTAATAAAACCATGGTGGGTGTGAATAATCTAGCACAACAAAGAATTACATCATTGGGACATAAATGAAAAAGTTAGATGTTGCATAATGCATAAAGGAAACATTTTCTATGAATCATGTAAAGACTTAACACTCATTATGGAAGGCAAAAGGATTTGTTGTTTTCTATTTATAAATAAACGGTGGTTACATTAACATGTTATCACTAGGGATCAACCGAGGGTTGATCGAACAGTCGTCTCCTGAAAAATTCAAATTCTCATATAATTTAGAATTTTTTTGTATTTTCTAATAATAATCTGCTTTTTCAATTTATAAGTTCACCCCTAACGTTAAATCCTACGTGGCAATAACCCGGACAGGACACTAACCGGGGAGGGGCCGGAGAGCTCTATAAATAAAAATTGAAAACAGGGTCTACCCTCATCAAATCAAAGACAACTTAATAAACAAACGAATCACAGAAATCCTGGAAAATAAAAAGGGTATTCAAAGTATTCAAATAATATAATTTACCTCAACCGAGACATGTATGCATGGGCTTCTCCATCAACTAATTAATCGACATTACTACATAATTAAGATGCACAACTTTGCCCTAGTGCTAATTAAAGATGGATTGTGGGTACTGGGTTGGTCGCACCTTCTAGAAATTTTAAATTCTCATATAGTTTAAACATTTTCTTTTAGTGATTTAACTTCGCATATAACTTTTTAGGTTTGTACATCTCGTATAAATTCATGCATCCGTTATACTATCCATTTTAGGGGTGAGCAAGACTCGACTCGAAAAGCCAAAATTTTCGACTCGAGAAAACTTGACTCAAATTGACTTCGAGTTGCAATTTTTTAAACTCGACTTAACTCGAAAAAATTTTAAATTCAAATCTAGTTGTAAAATAAAAATCGAATAACTCGAAATTTTTAGTAATTAGTAGATTTATTTTCAAGTTTGAATCGAGTCTTTAGACTTTGTATGATATATGTATATCCCATATGAAAAAAATGAAGAAATATATTTGTATTATATATATAGTTATAAAAAGTCACTTAAATTGTAATAAAATAATATTATAAATATTTACAATTAAATTTAAATATAAACTCAAAAAATCGACTTGACTCAACAAATAAAGTCCGACTAGTATAATAGGACTAATCGACTCAAGTAACTCGAAATTTTTTTACTTGACTCGATCAAACGCTCCTAATCCATGTTACAATTTTCATAATTCACTAACAATTTCAAAACAAGTAGTAATACACATGCAGACACGTTAAATCTTAAGAAAAAATAACCATAAAAGAAACATGACACGTGATTTAATAATTAATTAATCTAGTATGATCATTATATTGCTTTTTCTGCTGCGTTATGTAGTGAGTGGGTTACTTTAACAAGGCAATAAGGAAATTAGTTCACCCTATTTTCATTCGTATGTAATGAGGTAAGCAGTCAGATTTATAAATTGATTATCGTGGATTTGATCTCACGACTATAAGGTTAGAGACTTAAGCTCTACCAATTAAGCTGGACGGGTGATTCAATAAGGCAACAAGGAGGGTAAGGTAATTTCAAGCGGCTCCGATCCGGTATTTTAGGCACTATATTTCATATTCCACGTGTCATAAAATTATAGGTTTACTATCTCCAACACCGGACCTACCGTCAATCTTAGTTAAAACAATCGATTTACGGTAACAAAAAAATTTGATTCGGCCCCACACATTACTCTCAGATATCCAAAAATGAAAAGGTAATTTGGTTTTTTTTTAAATAAATAAAAACAAAGGTGAACGGAGACGACGTACCTAACGGAGGAATCAGGGAAACGTTTGAGAGGCTGACGTTGCCGGAGAATATGAAGGTCGCCGCCGGGACAAAACTCCGTCAATAAACAGAGCCATCTAGGGGAATCTACAACCGCGTACAGCGAAGGTAAAAAAGGATGATCCAACAATTCCAGTATTTCAATCTCCGTCCTCGCTCTCCCTTCTTTGCTCCTCGACGCTAGCTCCTTTTTGTCCATCACTTTCGCTGCAAAAACGACTTCCTTCCTGACGTTTTGGTCGTTGCTACTGTCGTTTTTGTTTGTATCAGTGGCGTTAGACTTGAGCTCTGCTAGGTAAACCGAGCCTATATCACCGGAACCGAGACGGAGAGAGAACCGGAGGTCGGCCAGGGAGAGTGAGCCGGTACGGATGGCTTTCGAAGAGAATGAGCCGTGGGTTGAGGGATCGAGGGATGATGAACCGGAGTTGGATGCGGAGCCCGAGCTGGTGCTGCGGTTTATGGTTACGGTGGAAGTGGAGGTGAAGCTTAAGCTTTGTAGATCGTCGGCTAAGTCGTCCACACACGCCTCCATTGTTGGAAATGGTGTCACTGAGAGAGAAACGGTGCTTTATAGTTGAAGGGATGGTGCATCGGGCTTGGTCTCGGGGTGATAAAGGGGCAATATTTATTATATTATTTTTCATTTGCGCAATGAATACAAGGTCTAACTTTAGATTTAATCCCTCTATTATGATGTATTTTTGTAATGGATCGGCATTCTAGTTTTATAATGTTTTAGATTCAAAGTGTTGGTGAGTATTCGATTGGGTAAAGTTAAAAGGGTTTGAGTTAACCAAGTTGGTGAGATATATTTTATTGTCAATGTTCATTTGAAATTTGTCTAATTCAATTTTTTTTAGTTTATGTTAAAATTTAATTATATTTATTTCTCATATTATGATACAAATTAGCTTCAATTTAAATACTTTATCTAACTATATAAAACATAAATACATATTCTTTTTCACATATGTAAGTAAGTTTTATAATGTTATTTAATAAATCAAATACCATCTACAATTATAAAAATATATTTATAATAATATTTTTTTGAAGAGTGATATTTTTGAGGAAAACCCCATTGATCAAAGTATAAATGAGTCATGTGATTGATAGGGATAAATAATTTGCAGGAGGTTATATTTAGATGATCAAATTGAATAAAATGTAAAGTTAAGGGATGAAAATGAAAAATAAGAAACTTATCATTTAAATTAAAACTTTAAGTTACATATTTATTTTATTTTTTTAAAGGACTATGTGGTTCAAATTTAATAAAATATGTGCTTGAAATGAAGGTGGAGTTGTAAAAATAATGAAGTCATAAAATTTAGACAAAAATAAATTGAAAAAGATAAAAAAATATTTTAAAAAGGATGAATTGAAGGTAATTTTATATTTTACAGTTTTTAGGAGTCTAATTAAAATTTAGTAAAAATAAATAAATTTAAAGTGAAGAAAAAATTAAATAAATAAAAAACTTTAAATACTAAATAAAAAAACAATCGTATTGTTTAACTAAAAAAATTAAATCAGCGTTGCTTTTAAACTATTTTTTATTTTTGAATTGGTAAAATCCAAACTCGAATCGAACTCAAAATTAACTCACAAATTTGAGTTGATTTGAGTGTCTTAAAATAAATAAAAAATCAATTTTTAAAAACCAAATCGAATTTCGTTTACTTCCATATTCGAGTTGAATTACGACTATCAAAGTTATAATATTATTATTTTTAATTTAATATTCAATCACACGCTCAAAATCACATACAAATTGAATTAAACAAATCACAAGAAGAGGTTCTAATGACAAAGGATGATATGTTATCTCGATGGTCGATAATCCAAGTTTAAGTAACATTATCATAGATTAAATAAGAAACAATTTAACTAAAAATTAAAATAATATCATATTAAAATTTATTTTTTAAAATTATAAAATGATTATTCAACTATAGAATATTACTTTATTAAGTCCCTCAACTATTAAAAGTTACAAAATGGTCAACCGACTATTCATTATGTTCCATAGTCGTCATTTTCCGTTAAAAGATTGGTGGTTGTCTAAGCTAGACGATAGCATGATGACTTAAATATGATTGTTGTTTGAGATTTCGAGATCAGATTTTATCATATCACAGCCAGTAGGTTAACGGTTCAGCTCAAATTACCATCAAATTTTTAACAAAAAATGACGAGTTTGTAACATAATGAATAGTCGAGTGACTATTTTATAACTTTTATTAGTCCAAAAACTCAACAAAACAACACTCTATAGTCAAAGAATGATTTTATAACTTTTAATAGTCGAATGACTTAATAAAATAGTATAATATAGTCAAAGGACTATTTGTGTACTTTACCCAAAGAAGTAATTGAATCGGAATTAAAAGAATCCCTACTATTTGGCCGCTAGATATCTAAAGTTGGAATTAAACTACTTAAATTTAATTAATTATTCAAAATTAAATATTACAAAGGTGTATTATAGAACTATCTTTTTAACTTAAATTTATTTCATCTGTGATACTAAAATTTGAATCTATAATATTATTTTAATATCTGAATATTTCATCACATTATACCTATTTATAATTAATTTTAGGGTAAACCATACATTTAGTACCTAAAATATTAGTTTTGGTCCTTTTTATACCTAAATTTTTATTTTTTTTCAAAACCATAACTAACATTTTCATTTCATTTTAGTACCTCTTGTTAAAAATTTAATGTGTTTAGTAGCTAAACTAGCAGTTTTGGTCCATTTTAATACGTAAACTTTCAATTTTTAAAAAAATTAATGATAAATTTTGAACGGTGTACTAAAATGAAACAAAAACTAAAGTTTTTAATGACATGGTACTAAAATGAAACAAAACTAAACTTTAAGTATGATTTTAAAAAACTTAAAAGTTTAGATACTTAAACAGATTAAAACTAATAATTTAGATATTAACTACGTAATTTACTCTTAATTTTATGTGGAAATTTGTGTTCATTACTCAATAATTTTATTTTTCCTTGGGGTAAATTACACCAATCATCACTAAACTTTATTCTCTCTCCTATTTCACTCATTGTACTTTAAATCCATTCGATTTCCTCACAGAAATTAACATAATTAGCATTTTTGGTCACTCGTCCGTTAAATATTTAACGGCGTTAAAAACACCATTTTAGAAAAATAAAATGTTCACCAAAACAAAGTTATTTTGCATCTATATAACAGCTCAATTATAATGACCATTAGTGAAAAAACGACTGAGTGACCAAAAATGGTTAATTATGTTAGTTCGATGATAAATTTTACAAATTTAAAACACATTGAGTGAAATAGAATAAATAGTAAAATTCGGTGATAATAGGCACAATTTACCCTTTTCCCTTGTTATCATTTTATTACAAATGATATGACAACTTATATTTAAGGGTTTTTGGGAACAAATTAACGTATCTTAGATTTAGACGTTGAAGACTTACCTATTTTTCTTATTGAATTTAGATAATTATAAAATAGTATATGTTCTAAATACTTTTAACCATTTAATAATGAATACTTAATAATTTTATTACAATTTATTGGTGTTCAAACTAATAACCTCCTTTAATTATATGTACTTGTGTGTAAAAGTATAATATATGTCATCATTATATCTATTATCTAACACTTATCATAAAACCTAACTATTAATTATTACTCCAATAAGTACTGCGTAGATGAATTCCAACCTCCAAAAAGTTTCAATAGTATTGTCTTAGAAGTATACAAATTAAAGTTTATATTTTATCGTGTGCAAATTTAAATTGTGACGCGAATCGAGTGATTTCAGTGGTAAATAAATTATTATTATTATTATTTAAGGGTTTAGATTTGAGTATCAGGCATGTCAGAGGTGTGAGCGTTCAATGTCAAATGATTGAGAGTTTATCTTTGAACAGATACTACATTGTATTTATCCCAGATTAATCGATAAAAAATTAAATTTGAAATTGTAATTTTAATTTTCTTTTAAAGGTTATAAAATTGAAACAATAATAAAACTATATTTTGGATTAGGGTAGTCATTTTTAGGATCATTTTAAATTTAATTTTGAAAAATATGGTGAGAGTGTTTTGAAAAGAATTTTTGGATTATTTTGTTTAAGATTATTTTTAATTAATATTTGATTTAAGATTTAAGGGTCTAGTATTACTGGTTGAAAATTTTTGTTTGAGAAGATAAATGATTATTTTATACACATTTTGCAAGATAAAAAATAATATTTAGTTGATATTTATTTTTTTAATATTATAATATATTAACTTTAATTATGATAAAAAAATAAAAAAAAAGTATTAATAAATTAATAAATTTATTATAACTGAATGTGTTTTATTTAACTTTTATCTAAAAATTGACATAATAAGATATAAAAATTCCTGACTTATAAATAATTTATTTATATATAATTATAGCTTGATAAAATTTGTAAATTGCTAAAATAGAAAATAAACATAATAAAAGATAATAAAGTAACTATTAAAAACAATTTTTTCTATTCTGAAGCGAGATTTTTAAAAGAGCATATTTTAATTTTAAAAAGACTATAAGAACTGATTTTACAATTACGCTATAGACGTCTAGATATGTTAAAGATATCATATTAGGATAGGCTTGTAAACGAATCGAAACATTCAGGGAACTATTCATTAACTGTTCGGCGAAAAATTTGTTTATGTTCGTTTAATTAAACGAACGAGATTTTATGTTCGTTTAATTAAACGAAGATACAATAACAAAAGGTTCGTCCGTTCATTTACGTTCGTGAATGTTCGATAATCTGTTCGTTTATGTTCTCTAGACCTGTTTGAAATATTAAGACTTAATAAATTTTATCCTTAAACCCATTAATATTTTTAAACTCAATTAATTTTAAACTCAAAAAAAATACTCAAATCAATTAAAGAAAATATAAATTCTAAAATTATTTGGAAAAAAAAATCTTCTCAAGTATAAACCCAAATAATTTATGTTTGTTCGTTTGTGCTCGTTTATAATTTAAACGAACGAGCTAAATTTTTTAAAGAATGAACACAAACAAAAAATCCCGTTCATTTAGTTGTTCATGTTTGTTCATTTGTTCGGATAAAGTTAAATTAACGAACATTAACATATCTTTATTCGTGTTTATTCGATTCATTTACCTACCTAAATATGATATAAAAATATAAGTAACTCATTCTATGGATGCAAAAGAATATAATAAATATTATACCAGTATTTAAAGTTTTAATGTGTCTAATAAATAATGTCGTGTAGTGAAACTGCACACAGTTAGATAGCTATCATATTCACCATTATTAATCCTATTTTATAAGCGACAACCGTCGGTTCAAGAGCAAGGCCACCTTGATCACTCTCACCTGCGTGCCCAGCTTACATCAAAGCGATGTGGGATAATTTGTACAAATATACCAAGACAAATATGCCTTTGTTGTGGCTTCAATTGCTTGAATAGTCCATTTCCATTTTAATGCTTTGATTTGATCTACTTGGCTTTTATCTCACCTTTGGACAGTGATGAATCCAGGGAATATTGGGGC